ACCATCTTATAATTGTTAAAGTTACTGACGAGGAACTTCTTGCTCGAAGCGTCCTCGGCCATGTACTTTTCTTCTAGACCGTCCCACAGTAACTTTGCAGATTCAACATTTTGATATACATCAAACAGAGAGTCAGACATACCGTTTAGAATATGTCCTCGACAAATGTAGTCATCGTTCTCCCACTTGCACCGCTTCCTCGTCTGCTCCAGTGTTTCGTCATCCATGATCTGCGGCATAGGCGTGCTCAGTACATACACGACCTTCAATGTTGTGAGAAGGAAGTGCATCTTCTTCTGCCATCGGCGGAAGTCCTGGCCTTCAAATTTTTCTAACTTCGAGAACTTGCTGCTCAAATCTCTTACGGAATCGCCACACGTCATCTTTGAGTTCTTTAGGAATAACTTTGATCTTTGTTGGACTTAGAAAAGGAAGAACACTGCGAAGCAGTGTTAAACGAAGAACTCGATAGAATAACGAATCGCGTACGAAACGCTTTCAGATCAAAGTTATTTCGGGGTATACGAAATACTTCAATCGGATAAGACGTTAATTCAGAACAAGCACTCGAGAATCTATCTGTCAACCCATACCACGAGACTCTATTTTATAGAGTCGAAAATCCTTGTGATCGGACATGAACATTCGCGTAGATGTACGCGTACGTTCGCGCAAGAAGAAGAAAGGTGCGAGTTTGAACGAAAGGTCTCTGCCCCTTGGACCCCGCCAGGGCTGCCGCCCCTTGGACCCCGCTACCCGGGGGCTGCCGCCCCTTGGACCCCGCTACCCGGGGGCTGCCGCCCCCGGACCCCCGCAATGAATTTATAATATCGTTGAACGAGCGCGCACTCCGCGCCTCCTAACTCGCTTGACAACGTCTATTTAAATTCCTGTCCGATCGAAGTAAATCCAATTACACAAAATAAATCGATGACACTAAAATCACCAACAATCAATCGTTTTCAAACTACTCCATAGTTGCTCATTACTCCATGTATTAAAAAAACAATATGATTGGCTTGCATTGATAGCAGTTTCTCCTCTTTGCCAAAACTTTAATCAAAATACAGAGTACAAAGATTTACAAACTATAAATTTATTTTTCTTTAATGCTCTAGTTGAGTCTCGGTCTTATTTGGTTTTGCATTTTTGATCTCTACATTTCTCCTTTTTAGTAGACTATACCTACACCTTAGTAGTTTCCCTTGTCAAAGATCTTGCGTTTCCTCCATAGCTTTATTTTCATAACCACAGTCTTCTTTCGTGAATTTGTGTCGTCTCACTCTATCTCTTTGTATACCACCCTATGGAGTTTCAATAAATAATTGTGTCTATGAAAAAGGAAGAAGTAAGTCTTCTTTCATTCAAATTCCGGACAAACTTCATAAACACAAACGAGAAGAATGTTTTAGAACAAGAATAGAATTTTATTCTAGTTTCGAAAATACTTTTTTAATATAAATTAACATCAATATTTAAATAAATAGAATCAAAACCAATTTATTTAATTTAGACATATAGTTAACATCAATATTTAAATAAATAGAATCAAAACCAATTTATTTAATTTAGAACAGCAACAGAAATTGTGCTGTTTATTTTTGAAATCATATCGTTGCAACATATTTCTGTAGAAGTGGTTTGTGTTGAAAAAATTTACAACAGAAAAAATGTAACAAAAACTCCATAGGTAAATTGCAAAATTTGAAAAATGTAGCATATATATGTTCATTTTTGCGTCAACCTAACCATCATTTTTATACACAACCAGTTATAGGGCCGAGGGATACTCAAATGTACATGTATTCAACAAAACCAGAGTTTTAATACTTGTTATAAAACAAAACAAAATTTCATTTATTTGTCAAAACAAAACAATCTCTGCATTGTTTAATTTGGGAAATAGGTTCATAGAGCATCAAGATAATATCTGGCTTAAGAGTTTGCTCGGTAGATGGTTTAGAGACAATATATGATTCGACAATGGAGCTCGTACTCCAAAGATCCCTCATGAGATATAGTCCTTGAAATCTTACTCTAAAGATTTATTTATTTTTAGGATTATGTCCACTAACTAAGTAGTATTAGAACTTTCTTGGAGGCTTGAACATTAGCCTGTTCTGATTGTATCATATCTTGCCTTCACACAATATACTACCTCCGTTTCTCAAAAGAGTTCCTCTTTTGACTTTGGGGGAAAATAAGGAAGTGTTAAATTGTAGTTGACTTTCCAATTTTGCCCTTGATGTGATGGGTAAAAGTAAGATGTGATAGTTTAGTTGTTAGTGAAAAGGTATGATGTGATATGTATGGTATGAAAAAGTAGGGGTAAAAGTGGTTTTTTAATAGAAAGGGGAAGTGTTTTAAGAAAAACAAAAAAAATGAAAGAGGAAGGGTTTTAAGAAACGGAGGGAGCATTACAAAGAAATGTTAAATAAACTTGGGGTGCAATTGAAGGGGTTGGGTGTTTTTGGGTCGAGGCGGGTGGGAGATTTTTTTGGAAGTTAGAATTGAAAGAGGTAGGAATCATGAATTTTACGAACAAGGCACCGTAGCGGTCCCGGGTTAATACATGACATGGGTTCTAATATTATGAGAACCCTTCCTATAGCAGTTGTGAATAATCTTACTAAAAGAAAAAGAAAAAAATTGCTCCATATAGGACTATAGGTAATACGTTTCTATGAATGGAACCAAATATATTTTATTCCTTTTATATATGGCACATATTTTCGTACCATCTGCCATATATGCTCTAATTAGCAATAGATGTTGGATAATGACTAATTATACAAATGACTCTACGAATGTGATCATTAGTAACAAGTGTTGGATAATGACTAATTATTTCAATAGTTATTCAAATTGTTTTTGAATAATGTCTTATTCTACTCAAAATCTTGAATTACGTAATAGGTCATTCCTTTATAATGACTTGAATTGGATAATAGGTTAAAGACAGGCATTTTAGAACTTTCCTTCATCAACATTAGAGTAAATAGGACCAATCCTATTTGAAACAAAATGATACGTTCAAGTCTCATTTACGTAAATTACTTAAAGAAAAAATGGTCACGAATATTTAAACACTAGAAATCATGATTTGCAAATTGTAAGTTGATGAATTTTGTTTTCTTTTTATTTTTGACTATATCATTTATGGTGAGTTAAACAAAACAACAAGCGACGGTAGAATCAAAGTATATCAAACTACTCCAGACAAGTACCACACATTAAAAGAAACCTACTCAGGACCATACGTATCATTAAAAACTATGGCTTTGGTGTGAAGAGTTAGTAGTACTTATATGTTGGTTGTTTTCATGATCACTGAGCAGTTAAAAACATAAATAAGTAAGAAAAAGAAATAAAGAGAGAACAAAGAAAGGACCTAAACCAAAAATTGAGTTACACACACAAAATGTTTGAGTTATTAGGAGGAAGAAGACAATGCTGCGGCTCTCTTCTTCTACTTCTTCTTGCTGTTTTAGGGCTTTCCTCTTCGCGGGTTTGCGCACGAAGAGAATCGTTTAAGGTGGAATACCTCCCGGGATTTCGTCACGAAGGGCCTCTCCCGTTCCATCTTGAAACCGGGTACGAGCCTCTTTGGATCCATGACACCTTTCATTGAAAACCGCTAGCTACTATGCTTCAGTCTTATATTCTCTCTGTCTCATAAAGCTTTTTTCACTTTATATTAAGGTGGGTTTTAAGAAATTTATAATTTTGGTCTTATTTTTCAATTTTAGCCTTACTTTATTTATTGTATGGGAGAATAAAATGTGGTCCGAAGTTCTTCAGTTTAACTAATCGATTGGATTTAATCTCTTAATGTGGTTCAGCCCAAGTGACTTTTTGACCAATCTAGTTATCACTACCCCATCCTAAATTTTGTCATGATATCGGAGCAGGTTTTGGCCCATCTTGTTTGTCAAGGTGTCCGTCTAGACGTTCATTCCTAGCGGCCCATTAGTCTTTAGCCCAGTTGTCCGTACGGGGAATGTACCGAATGGCCTGTGGCCTATTTAACACGATTGCTCCTCTGGAAGTCCATACCCAACGGCTCGTGATCGTTTAAGTGTTGGCGCTCAAAAAAAATCAAGGAGATGGGAGTCCATTTGCAAGTGGTCAATCGATTAGATTCAAACGAATGGAAAGTAAAACTGAAAATATTTTTTGAGACGGAGAGTTTTTTGGGGTCTACATTTATTTCGTGTTGTTTATTTAATTATGTCTATTTAATTTAATTTGTGCAGTGTGTGTACATTAATTGTATATATGGCATTATGGTGTATTTTTGTTATATATGAATAATTATAGGTATATTGGTGTGGGTGAAGCAGAAGAAGTGCAACTCTTTTACTACTTTGTAAGATCAGAATCAAACCATAGTATAGATCCCATTGTGCTTTGGATCTCTGGTGGACCATGTTGCTCTACTTTGTTTGCATTGACTCAGGAATTTGGTGAGTTTTTTCTCCTTCTTTTCTTTTTTATGCATTAATCCACCTGGCTTCATATATCCCCTCCCTCCCTAAAAACTCTTTCTATATCAACTTTTAAGATATTTAAAGAAAGTGTGTTTTGATATTGACTTTTCAAAAGCACTCTTACATGCGATAAGTAAAAGTAAGATGTGATTAATTGATTAGTAATGAATAGACTTGATATCGGCATAAAAAATTAGTAGGTTAAAAGTGAGATTTTAATAAAAAATGAGAAAGTTTTTTGTAACAGATAAAAAGTAAAAAAAAAAGAAATATTTTTAGGGGGACATCATTTCTAAAAAGAAAATCTTGAAATAAATATTATGGAGCATCTACTTATAAATTTTGCAGGACCATTGATCTTTGATAGACCCAAGGATTTGAAAGCCATGCCCACTTTGTCATTGAATTCCTACCCGTGGACAAAGGTACTTTCAAGGGTTTTCATTTTCTTTTAGGCTAACATTATGTTTGGTTTCTTTAAAAAACAAAATAACATTATGTTTGGTTCACAGACTTTGATAGAGAAAAGAAAAAAATGATATATAAACAATTTTATTTGTTTGGTCAAAGAGAAAATAATAGGAAATTATTTTAAAAAATGTATACATACCTTATACCTGTATTCATTCATTTTTAAGTCATAATTTTCTGTTTTAAAATAGGAAACTATTTTAAAAAATAGGCTCTGTTCCGATCTGATTGAATCTGATCTGAATTTTTGAAGTTATGATCTGATCTGATTAGGTTTGATCTGATTGAATATGATCTGATTGGATCTAATCTGATGGGGTCTGATCTAATCTGATTTTATCTAATTAGATCTGGTGTAAATGAATTTAAATTTGATTTAAATTAAACTCAAAACTTATTACAAAATTTAATAGTTTTAAAGTATTACAATTCATACATACATAAAAAAAATAAAATAAGAAAATCAGCTAATCATTGATATATTTAAACTTTTGTTTGATATATTAAACATCTTTTCAATATTACTACTTTTTTTGCTTTTTCTGAAAATAAATAGTCGCTATTAAAACAATCAAATATTAGAGAATATGGATATACAAAAATATCACATTCTATATGAAAATTACATAATAATATATTTAAGGTTACAAATTAAAGATCATATAAAATTTTAAACACTAATATCCCTTTCACCTCTATCAATTTTCTCATAAACTCACCCTTATGTATATTATACCCTCTTAAAGTTTAAAAGTAAGTCTTTTTAAGTATAAAATACTTATGGTTTTGAAAACTAAGTTTTGTATAATTATTTTATAAACAAGTATTTTAAAATAACTCTTTTTAAAGTATGAAAAATACAACTTTTTAAGCATTAACATTGCTTCCATGCATCATTCTTATCCTACAAGCTAAGCAATTATTAAAAATAATTGTTTGTAGTTGAAATATAATAATAATAATAATAATAATAATATAACAACAACAATAATAATATAACAACAATAATAATGATTAAAATTATAATATTAATTAAGATTTAGGTGTGTGCAGTTTTAAATAAAGTAATAATGTGATTTAATCAAATAATAGTATTTATTATTTAATCCTTGAAAAATATAAATATTATTTTTTTAAATTTTTATTGATTTGATATTATTGGATTTGATCTGGTCTAATCTGATCTGATTTGGATCTGGTCTGATCTGATTAGACCTAGTCTGATTGTATCAGATCTGATTGAATCAGATCTGATCTGATTGTACCTGATTTGATATCATTAGGTGTGATTTAATATGATTTTAATAAGAATAAGTAATAAGTAGAAAAAATAAGTCATGCGGAACGGACCCTTAGAGAGAACTCTTATCTACCAAAATAAGAGTAATAAGCCTTTTAAGATCAAAACAGGAGTTCAAACAGTCATTGTTACATTGACACCCTCACTACATTATACTCCCCCCGTCCTCCTAATATCTTCTCGTTTTGACTTTTTGTGGTTTTTAAGGAGAGTTGAAAAAAAGGTGAGAGTTTAACATAACACCCTTAATGAAAATGGGTGGAGTGTATTAAATGAGGTGGATGAGCTGCAATAAATAAAGTGAAGGTTGTTGTGGTATTTTAATTGTTAAAAAAGGTAATGAGAATATCTATGGTGGGCAAATAAAAAGGGCTAATGGGAAGATCTATGGAGGACGGAGGGAGTAACATTTTAACAGCCACACTATCACCACCCCACTATCATCTGTCGCTGCTAGCCACTACATTTTCGGTGCAGATTGCTGACGGTTGACTGATCACACTGACATATGTTACACTGTCATAACTTTTCTATCACACTGCCAACGCGTATTCTTACATCATACTGCCATTATACGCTTATTTTAGTCTTAAAAGATATAGGACTTATATTTTTGTATTTTCAAACTTTTTTATAGGGGTGAGCGTCGTACGGTATGGTACGGTATTTGGTTTATACCGATATCGTACCAAATATTTTGGTTTGGTATGAGATTTTACATCGTACCGTTCCCGATCTCGAAGTATCAGTTCAGTATGGTTCGGAATGCTTCGGTTTCGGTAAATATTGTGATGAGTATATATACGTACCTAGTTTACACTTAGAAATGTATTAAAATTTTTATTTAAAAAATTGAAAGTACATTCAAATAAAGAAAGATAAACAATTAAAAAATTAATAATTAAATGAAATAAATATTTATAAAACTTAGTCTAATTTATACTTCATATTTCACAAATAAAAGAGAACAATGATAACAAAATAGTATTTCAAGTGCTTGTTAATTTTTTTAATATTCATCTACCGAAAAATAAAACTCCAATAAATGATTATTTAAATAAGAGATTATTTGTAATTAATCTAGCTTTTCAAAATTAATTTATTTTTAATGAAGAAATATAAAAATATTATTATTTTTATAACATATTTGTATATATGTTCGGTTCGAAATTTTTCGGTATGGGAACTTACCTCGTACGATCCCAAATGCCAGACCGACCATTGGGTTTGGCATGGTTCGGTTCTTTTTCGGTATTTTATCGGTTTGTATTTTTCGTTTCGATAATCTCAATTTTTCAAGAAATTTCAGGATAGAAATCACCTTAAATAAGACTAAAACATAGAAAAAGTACGAAAGTAGGACTTTCATGTTTTTATTCCCAAATTAGGAGTTCGCTGTGGTAATGTGGAGGTCATGTGACACTGTACACGTGCACATTACTATACTTTTTGGTAATGTACATGACCACATTTGGTAATATAAATGCATTTTAACTCCTATTTTGGGAATAAAAACATGAAAGTCCTATTTTGGTATGTTCTTAATTTTACTCCTATTTCAGTCTTTTTCCCATTCCAAGATCGGTTCAGTACTTGCTCAGTTGCTTACCCCTACTTTTTTACTCCTATATATCTCGGAGATTTCAGGATAACTCATAACATAAGAGTAAAAAACTATGAAAATACCAAAATAGGAGGCATAATTCTTTTAAGACTAAAATAGGAGTTCACACAGTCATTGTTGCACTGCCACACCCACCACATTGTCACATTGTAATTGTCACATTATTACCGTCACACTATCATTCGTCGCCGCCAACCACTAGAGTGCCGCAATGGATCACCGATAGTTGACTGATCATATCAATATATTACAGTCTTATAACTTTTTTAGCACACTGCCAACACATAATCTTACACCACACTACCATTATACTTCTATTTCGGTTTTAAAAGACATAGGACTTCTATTTTGGTACTACCATATTTTCAAGTAAATGTCCAACACCACTCGACAATTTTCAAACTAAATGTCCACCATTATTGGACATTGTTCGCGCCGCTAGATATATTTCAAGTACTATTTGTAGAATAAAAAAATTTAAATACTAAATTAGAAAAAGGAACATGTTTTAATTTTATTTAGTGCAAATTTCACTAAAATATACTGGAATTGCCCTCAGATTGCAAATTTTATCATGCTGGATTTCCCGGTGGGAACTGGGTTTTCGTACTCAAAGAATCCAGCCCACCCTAATTCAACTATTTTGGAAGCCCGTTATCATGGCGCGGAATTCGTTCGCAAGGTATGTGTACATATGGACACTTCAAAACCCGATAAAAGTATTTATGGACCATCACAAGTCTTTGATAGAAAGCACACACACAAGATAAGATTTAACACGCAAGAGTATGTTCTTGAGTTGTGTTGCTTGCAATGACAATATCATCAACATAAACGAGAAAAGCCAGGAAAAGAAGGATTCTGTTGATATGTGAACAACGTGTAGTCCGTCCGAGATTACTAATAACCAAAAAGCGTTGAGCAGAGTGGAGTTGGGCAAACCAATTGCGTGGAAACTGGCGCAATTATTGTTTAACAACTCCTATCTCTGTCCCAAAGTATTTGTCCAGTTATGACTTTTTCAGTCAATCGTTAACAACCTTCGACCTTCTATTAAATAAATTAAAATATATATTGTATATTAATTAGGTCAAATTATATTTTGAAAATATTTATATAATAAATCTAATAAATTACTTTTTTATTAATATCTAATATGATTTTCATTTAATCTGGGTCAATTTTGACCGAGAAAAGGAAAAAGTGGACAAATATTCTGGAACAGAGAGAGTATTCCACTATTATTTTATATACTTAATATATATATTGTTCAACAGTGGTTAGAAGATCGTCCTGAGTATCAATCCAATCCATTTTATATCGGTGGAGACTCATATTCTGGCATTACTATTCCGGTCGTCGCTCAAGCCATATCAAGTGGTATGTTCTCATTAAGAAATATACTTGTTTCAAACTCTTGTGATGCCATGTAAGGTGCAAAACTCTTGATACCTATATCGGCAAGGTTCCGGAATGACACTCCCCTATTTTGAGTACCTCTGGTGCTCCAAATAAAAAATTGATGGTTCATACCTTCCTTAACCCACCATCTAAACTCTTACCGCATCCCTACCCAAGTCCCACCCCCACCCTAGACCTTCCTTTTACTCTCTCCAAATGTGTGGCTATTACGCATTGCATAATAGTCACAGAGTAAAACGGAGGTCTAGGTTGGGGTGCAGGGGTGGGGTGCGATGGGGATTTAGGGGGTGGGTTAGTAGGGATAGAAATCATTAATTTTGGGAATAGAGCACCGAAGGTGCTCGAAATAGGCTAGTGTCATCCGTTGACACTAGATGCCAGTGTCAACAAAACCTTGTCGCGCACGCGGGTGTGTGTGTGTGTATAACAAATTCATAGGGAGAAAATTATTAAATTGGGACTAAATCATGTTAGAAATTTAGGAGGATGAATGATGCGCAGCGTTGAAGAATTAATGAAACGAAGAATGAGAATTACGACTTGAGAGTATAACAAATCGCGAATACGCTTTCAGATCAAGGTTAATTCATACTAAAATACTTTAATTAGATAAGACATTAATCAAGAACAAGCCTTTCGAAAATTACTCCTCAACCATACCAAGCGACTCTTTTTATAGAATTGAAGATTTTGGCAACCAGACATGAACGTTCGCGTAAAGGAAGCGAACGTTCGCGCAACAGGGAAAGAACCCAAGTTTTGGTAAAGGATGCAAGTGTTAGCGCGAGTTTCCCTTTTGGCTTTTGAGTCGATTTTGAAGTTTATTCATGCGTGCGAATCTTTAGTGTATCGGGTTCCGTCACCGGCCAGGGCTCTGCCCCTTGGACCCTGCTACCGGGGGCTGCCGCCCCTGGACCCCTGCTATGAATTTGTAATATCGTTGAACGAGTGCGCACTTCACGCCTCCTTACTCGTTTGACAACGTCTATTCAAACTTTTGCCTGATCTAAGCAAATCTAATCACACAAGATAATCGATAACATTAAAATCACCAACAAATCATTGTTACTTGACAAAAATGGGACTGAAATTGATATGGACACTAAATCATTTATGAGATGTCCAAACTGCCCTTGCGCCTAATTTAACACTAAGAAGGGCGGCCCACTACACTCAAGGACTTTGTGTAATAATTTGATCTCTTGCAATGTTAGAGGGGTTTTTCCAAAATTTTGAGTCCATCAAATAAGAATTTTGTGAGTAAGTCAACATGTTAGATGTTGAACATAGGACCGTCAATTATGCAAATTATTACTCGTATTTCAATATATAGTACTCGGAGTATGTAAAAACTACATGCATGTTAATAAAATGAAATAATTTTTAGAATTCATTTACAAAATAAATCTCCTGAAATAACTTTATATCCCTTGTTTCCATCTTTTATCTTCCGCGTTACTATTAGAGTCTCTCAATAACTTATGGTTCTTTGCGTATTTTTATTAATCATTTGATAAGATAATTTTTTTTTGTTAGTTTTTGTTTTGTAGAACTTTTGATTTAATTTTGAACAATGTAATTCATACTTATTTGATGTACTAATTTGTGAATAAAGTAATTTTAAAAAGATGAGATTCTGTACGTTAAAAATAGACCGAGGGAACATTAATATACTGTATAAATTTTACTCCCTCCATTCCATAAAACCCTTCCTCTTTCGTTTTTTTCTAACTCCCAAAAACACTTCCACTTTCTATTAAAGAACCTCTTTTGCCCCCACTTTTTCATACCCTACATATCACATCATACTTTTTCACTAATAACCAAACTATCACATCTTACTTTTACCCATCACATCAGGGACAAAATTGGAAAGTCAACAAAAATTTCACTTTTCTTGTTTTGGCTCAAAGTCGAAATAGGAAGTGTGCAATGGAACGGAGGGAGTAGTTTATAATGTCATAAAATAGACAAAACTAATGTACATTATTGCATCAAATTAACATAAGCAAAGACAGGTTATGAACTTATGATTAACAAGCTAAGGCACTTGGCATTCTATGCAGGTATGGAACATGGGTTAAAGCCAAAAGTTAATTTTAAGGGTTATTTACTTGGCAATCCCGCCACGTTTGGCCAAGCGGAGCGAGATTACATTCCTACACATATCCATGGGTTAGGGCTTATGTCTGATGAACTATACGAGGTATATATGTAATTACTCTCCTTTTCCTTAATTAAATCTCACTAGATAGCTTTATCAAAGTCGATCAATAAAATTGATTCAATATTTAATTAGTACTATTTCATCTGTTTTTGAAAACTCTTTATCATATATTCTTTTTTTTTTCATTTTTTCAACAAGACAATTCAACTTTTGAGTTTTGAATAGCATAACTAGTATATCCAAATAAAGTTATTACAATATACTTCATATTGTATATTTTTTGAATAGCATAACTAGTATATTTTTTGATATACTCCGTAATAAGTTATTTAAGTGACTTATCTCTCTTTAATCTTCGACATTATAGATATAGAGGTGTTTCTCTGTGCTGGTATTTATTGCCTTATTACCGATAAATAACTTTTAACTTTTAAGCTGCTTATGAGTCAAATATTCTTTCATGAAAGTAAAATAACTTAAATGATAGATAAGTTAATTGAAAATAGTAATAAATGGTGAGTGACAATTTTGTAAATAATCTAGTCAAAATGAAAAATGAAAGAATTGGCTTAAAAAAAGTAACTATGACCTACTTATTTTTTCTACTTATAAGTCAGCTAATAAGCACATGAAAATATGTCATCAGCTGACTTATAAGTTAAAAACTGTTTATAAATAGTTTTGACCAGCTTATAAGCATAGAGAAATACCCGCATAATTTGAAATACCCGCATAATTTGAAAGTCAAATTAAAAAAATAAATTTGTCAAAACACAAAATAAGAACTGTCTTAAAATACTAAGGGAGTATGGGTACAGGCATTTTAATTTGTGTAACACACTCAAAGAGTCAAAGGAATAAACTTTCTTTATCTTTTCGAAAGACTTAGGGTTAGAAGACAATATTTTTGTTGATATTGCAAGGCATTCTAGTGTTATCTAATACTACTCCTAGTGCTTATAAATCTACATACTTTCGCTTTCACTCAAGAAATAAAAATATAATATTGATAATGATTAAACATCAACTCGGTTAAAAATAATCTAGCAAATGATAATGTTTGGCTTCAACTTTGTTAATAATCGTGCCAAAATATAAAAATACTTGGAATTGTATGTCTTATTTGAAACTTCAAAGCTAATCCTGGATCGAATCATACAAAATTTATTAGAGGTATATATGCAAACATTTTCTTTGAATCTGGTTTGAAAAACCGAACGGTCAAATTAACTTTTGTTCTGTCTTTAGTTTTGGGGTGAAACGGAAAACTTTTGTTCTGTCTTTAGTTTTGGGGTGAAACGGAACTTACCCCTATTTCAGACTATTAAAAAATAATGTGAATATAACATGACTATAGGTCTATTACGTTCAACCTATTTTTCTACTAATTACCTATTCTTATTATAATCAAATCAGACTAGACCAAATCAGATCTAAATAAATCAGATTAGGATCCAATCAGATCAGATTAGAAACATATTTAAAGACAATTATAATCAGAGATCACATGAAATCAGACCAGACTAAATCAGAACCAATCAATTAGATTTAATAGAATTAGATCAGATCTAATCAGAATGATCAAATCTCATCTAATCAGATCCAATCAGACAGATCTAACCAGATCTTGAAAAAATCATATGAGATCACACAAACAAAGGCAATATATATGTACTACCTATTATAGAAAGATAAACTAGTTCCTCTTCATTTATTTTTGCTAGATTGATTTTTGCCTAACAACGTTGTACTATAATATTTAATCTGTACATGACTTAATAAATTATCACGAGCAGTTATGGAAGAGAGATTGCAGAGAAAACACCAGCATGTCCAAATGTACCAAGGAGATGGAGAAAATGCAGAAAGTGAGCAAACATTTTTGTTTCATTTCATTCTACACACACAAATAGGGAACGTGGGGAAAACACACACACATATATGTATGTGTGTGTGTGTCTATATATATATATATATATATATATATATATATATATATATATATATATATATATATATATATATATATATATATATATATATATATATATATATATATATATATATATATATATATATATATATATATATATATATATATATATATATATATAGGAAATTGTAAAATCACATCACACCAATAGAAATAACACCACTTCATGACACCTGTAGTGGGTTTTGGGGTACCAATAGTGCTCCGTCGTTAAAATTAATGATTCCTAGGCCTTCTAATAAAGCCTCCTCGACCCATCAATTTCACCCCACCCACACCCAGCCTGTAAGTATTTTGCTCTCTTTTCTTTTCGATGTTAAATAAATACTGTGTATAAAATTAGAAAACCAAATAATAAAAATAAATCTTTCGAAAATTAAAACAGGAAATTTTTTTTTAATAAAAGGAAGGGAATACAATAATAGGAAATGGTATAATTTGGCTTCTTCGATCAATTGAATATTATATTTGCAGTTCACTATTCAAGTTATGATGGCAAATACTTTGATGCCTGCTTGCTCTTGGATAAATGAAAATGATGACGCATCTTCCCAGCAGAGAGCTCTTATTTCTAATAAGAGGTTTAAAGGGGTCAATGTTCATGCCATTGATATTTCGATAATGTGTTATGTAAGTACCATACTAGCTAGGGACTAGTAGTTTTAATGTTGTGAAATTTGCACTAATAAATAGGACTAAAACATAAATTATTTTTTAATGTAAGACTTGAACTTTTTTATTTCCCTAAATAGTACTATCTCCGTTTCTCAAAAGAGTTCCTCTTTTGACTTTGGGGAAAAAATAAGGAAGTGTTAAATTGTAGTTGACTTTCCAATTTTGCCCTTGATGTGATGGGTAAAAGTAAGATGTGATAGTTTAGTTGTTAGTGAAAAAGTATGATGTGATAGGTAGGGTATGAAAAAGTAGGAGTAAAAGTGATTTTTTAATAGAAAGGGAAAGTGTTTTAAGAAAAACAAAAAAAATGAAAGAGGAAGGGTTTTAAGAAACGGAGGGAGTACTTAATAATGTCCAGTGGAATGAATAATGTCCGGTGATGGTGGACATTTACTTGAATAATGACTAATGGATGATGACCAATGGTCCTACATTGGGAAATAAAAATGTATGGTCCTATATTGAGAAAGTCATTATGTTTTAGTCCTATTTAGGTAAATTTCTCTTTAATGTTTGCTTCTTCTAATTTTAATACTACTCTATTTTACTCCCTCCGTCTCTACAAAATTGTCACAGTTTAACTTTTTTGATCAAATTGTGACAACCTTTGATTCTTAATTAAATTTTTATTCCACTGCATCAGTACGTAATCCTTACATGAGTTACATCCCTTAATAAACTTCATCTTTGTTTTTTAAAATCAAATTTTATAGTGTTTGGCTTTCAAAATTTTATAAATTAAACTAATTTATAATACGAAAAATGTCATGACTAATTCCTTTGAATTTATGTTTTTTAAATGTTATTTTTTTCATAATCTTTTGTAATGTGAGTGTGTAAAAGGGATATTCATGGTCAAAGATCATCATATTATGTTATGCATTATGGTAGCATGAATATGCACTTAAATATAACAAATCCTTTTAGTTACATCTCTATTTGAACAAAACAAGAGACTGAAAGCCATGGTAGAAAAATAAAGAGGCTGAATTTGTAGTTTCACTCACTTTCACATACTTAACGTCATATATTTTTATTATTGTTTAATTATTTTGTTTTATCAATATAACAATCATTATACATTTATACGGAGTATATATAAACGTGTATTCATTCTTTTAGGGAAATATAATTGCGGGAAGGTGGGCCAATGACGTCACCGTTCGAGAGGCACTACATATTCGAAAGGTAATTTAATTTGTGAGTAGATTTGTTTAATTAATTTTGACTTTTTTTAGTTAAAATTGGTAAACCGTGACTTTAAATTAAATAAAAATAATATTAGTTATTAATAAAAAATAATTTAATTAGATTTCTTGCATCAAATATTTTCAAAATATTATTTTATCTATTAATATACAATATATATTTTATTTAATTATAGGTCAAAGGTTGAAAATGGTTACCGAAAAAAGTAAAAACTGGACAAATACTCAGCGACGGAGGAGTCATAAGTCTTTTAAGTCTAAAATAGGAGTTCATACTGTTATTGTTACACTGCAACGCTCACGATATTGTGACATTGTAGCTACCACATTATCACTGTTACACTTCCATTTGTCGCTGCCGGCCACGAGAGTGCCCTTCCGAATCACTGATGATTGACTGATTACACCGATATATTACACTGTCATCATTTTTTCATCATCACACTACCAACGAGTACTTTTACATTACACTACCATTATACTTCTATTTTGATATCAAAAGACTTAAGACTCCTATTTTGGTATTTTCATACTTTTGTACTTCTATTCAGGGAGATTTTTTTATATTTTCTTGATTAGTTAAATCTTTAAAACTTAGATCATAATTTACGGGAAAAATAAATTGAATTAACATATTTTTTTAATTTCAATAGGTTTACTTTTAATATAGTTTTGAAATGAAATACCTCCCCGTGAACCGTTTTGAGAAACGGAGGGAGTATGTTTTATAAATACCTCCCCGTACTCCGTATATAAAATCTTTTCTGGGCTTATAATTACTCCGTACAATTTTAAGCTTTTAGTTGAGTATCAAAATCCTGTTTTTTTTTTGAAACAATCAAAATCCTGTTAAACCAAGACATTGGTCGTCCCATTTTGAAGAAAAAAGATTTAGATTTCTCGTGCAAGATTGAAATGGTCACATTTGTACTTGGAGGGAATGTTAGAATTTAAAAAGAAACTTCTCCAAATCTCTATTTCAAAAGTTTTTGCTTCTACGTGTAATAATATACTCCCTCTGTCCAACAATATTTTCTTGCTTTTTTCATCCATCCCAAAAAAGCTTCCTCATTTTTATTTAAAAATTATTTTTACCCTTACTAATTATTAACCTACATATCACATCACATTTTTTATTATTAATGTACCCATCATATCTTACTTTTACTATCACATTTAAATGTATTTTTAAAAACTCAACACCAAAATATACTTCTCTTAAATTTTTTAAAAATCAAAACTAGAAGCGTTTTATACGACGGGAGAGTATATTTCTTGAACCTATTGTATTTTTTTTGGATGAGTGCAACAGTATTGTAAATTGTATAGTCCATAATGAATTAATTATGGACATGAAAATGTATGTAGGGAAGTAAAGAAACGTGGTCGCAATGCAACCATTTCCTTGGCCTTCATTATGAGATTGGTATAAGCGACGCGAGACCCTATCATGCAAACCTTAGCACAAAAGGTTACAGATCTCTTATTTACAGGTTTGCCAAATTACTACAATACCCGAAAAGTTTTACACATTTTGATTAAAGTGAAAATTAAGATAGAGATAATTTTGTGTTGACTTTCCAAAAATAACCTTGATTTGATATGTAAAAATAGGATGTGATGTTTAGATTATAAGATATATATATCTATGTATGTATGTATGTATATGTATATGTATATTCTTCTATTGACTTCACTTGGTTACTCAAATTAATTGATTATTGCCATCTATACTTTTTCTCTCTACTCCAATATCATCAATCACATACAGAGCAATTTTCGTCTTTCTTAAGATTTTGATACAATTTGTTAATAACTTGTCTTGTTGAATATATATTGAGAGATATGGCCCTATATATAGGGAATACAAGAGTAATCAAAGTACAAGTAAGAAAGGAAAGAAGTATCCTAATTTAATTATACTTCTTAATATCCCCCCGCAAGCTGATCAACGGAGACGAGGGGCAGCTTGGAACATAAGTACTCAAAAGGAACGGGCGGAAGCAGTTTGGTAAGAATGTCTGCTAGCTACTATGAGGAGGAAACATGATGTGGAGTCATAGTGCCTGCCATAACCTCATCTCGTACAAAGTGATAGTCTGTGCCCACATGCTTCATTCGACCATGAAGAACCGGATTTTTGGTGACACAAATAGTCGACTCATTGTCACAGTATAACTTCGGTTTGGACGGAGGAATACCCAGCACATCAGTGATATATCGAAGCCACATAGCTTCTGCAACCCCTGCAGCCATAGCTCGATATTCAGCTTCAGTGGATGATCTAGAAACACGAGTGTGCTTTTTCGTGCACCAAGAGATGATATTAGGACCGAGTAGGAGTATGTAGCCCGTGGTAGACTTGCGATCATCTTTATCATTTGCCCAGTCAGAGTCAGAATAGACAGATAGGTCGAATCCCCCCTTGCAAAAAAGAAGACCACGATTCAAAGTGCCTTTGAGATAGCGCAGAACGCGTTGTAAGGCATGATAGTCCTGCTCAGTGGGGTTGTGCATAGTCTGAGACACTCGATTAACATCATACTGAATGTCTGGGCGAGTGACAGTCAAGTAATGTAAACCGCCAACAATGCTTCGAAAATGAGAGATATCCCTAAAAGGCAACGAAGGCTTAGTGATAGGTCTCGTAGCCATAGGAGTAATAGCCGGATGACAGTCGGACATCCTAGTTCGGTGTAGAAGATCACGGGCATATTTGGATTGATGGAGAACCATAGAATCTTGCGTGCGCTAAACCTCAGTGCCAAGGAAGTGATGAAGAGGTTTAAGTTCTTTGAGCTTGAAGTCACGGTGCATGGCCTGAATAACTTCTGAGATGAGAGTAGAAGAGCTGCCAGTGAAAACAATATCATCAACATAGGCAAGGACAATAATAGTCCCACGAGAGTAGTGTCTGGTGAACAAGCTGGTATCATGAATGCGGCACTTGAATCCAAGGCCCTGCAAAAAAGAGGAGAGGCATGTGTACCATGCACGGGGTGCCTGTTTGAGACCATATAGTGACTTGCGGAGCTTGCAAACATAGTGAGGATGAGTGGGATTTATGTACCCCGGGGGCTGCTCCATATAAATTTCCTTGTCCAAGGCATTTCTAACATCCAGTTGATGAAGAGGCCAATCACGATTGAGTGCTAAAGAGAGGACCAGGCGCACTGTTTGTTGCTTGACCACAGGACTGAATGTAACACCCTACCCTGGATGACCCGAGTCATCCAGATTAGAGTGTTAGTAAAACCGGGTTACTTTGTAAAATATTATTTATCTGAAATATATTATCTTTTTAATAACTAAACAGATTAAAAAACGTTTTTCGCTTAAGCTTAAAGTAAAAACATCCATAGTTAATACAACATTGGGTTCAAGCCCAAAAACAATGTAAGTTAAGTTCGACGTTTTATTCATTATTAAATATTAAATAAGAACTCTTTTGGCACGACCTCCACGTCCAAGCTTTCCTCCTCAGCAGTTGTTTTCCTTGCTAGTACTTACGTGCAGTTAAACACTACACACTCAGCATAAGCTGAGTGGCAAATAACTAGTAGACATATATAATATGTAAATATATTTTAGGCCTTTTAAGTTATTCAATTTATTCCAAAAAAAAACTTTTTGCGTAATTAAAAATCATCGAGGAAATAATTTCACCTTAAATAGTTACTTGGGGACATTTAGAAAACTTTTGACTTACTAGGTTAACCACAGATTAGGAACTAAGCCGTGACTAGGCTGGAACACCGCACTAGTCAATACGTAGTTTTACTTCGGATACCTCCCCGTGACCTCGGGTCCAGTAATCAGAAGTGAACCCTAGACCCACGGGGCCATCGTCGAGTTCTCGTGCCCACGTTGTGGTATGATTGTTTATAGGCTCATCCACATGGACATGGTCCGGCCTTGAAAGTGGTTTGACCCACTTGATAAAAACGTGACAGTACTTAGTCAGAGTACGTCGATATATAAATCTTGAACTTTTACTTAGTCCACTAATTTGTTTGATTAATCTAGCTAGTAAAGTCGTTTACATAAATCGTGTTTTTTTAATCTCTTAAAAAAACCATCATACGATATTGTCCCCTTTTTCATTTTCTAAAACATCATGCCACTTGATCAATTAGACATTCAAAGGGTTAAAAAGAAATTTACAACTCTATTCATTAATCAATCATATACCAATATTTTTTTAAGGAAACAAACATACCAATTTTTTTTATAATTATTGTCGCTTACAAACATAACCAACCCTTTTTTTTTGCTATCATTTTCTTCCCTTAACCTTCGGTTATGATAATTCCTTTTTTTATTTTAAAAAAAAGTACTAATTATAATAATAACAACAATAATAATAATAATAATAAAGAATAAAAAGTTCATTCTTTATCCATTACCAGAAGTGTGCAATTACACTTTTCTTTTTGTTTCTTTTTTTTTTGAAGCCAAGTGAAATTTATGTGCAACATGTATATATTTTTTTTATTATGATTATTATCCTTCTCTTTTAATTTATTATCTAGAGGAGTAAATTCATGTATGAAAAAGTAAAAGGAAACGCACAAAAATATATTAACATGAAATATACTCCCTCCGTTTCTTAAAACCCTTTCTCTTTCATTTTTTTTGTTTTTCTTAAAACACTTCCCTTTTCTATTAAAAAACCACTTTTACCCTTACTTTTTTATACCCTACCTATCAGATCATACTTTTTCACTAACAACTAAACTATCACATCTTACTTTTAATCATCACATAAAGGCAGAATTGGAAATTCAACTAAAATTACACTTTCCTTATTTTTCCCCAAAGTCAAAAGAGGAACCGTTTTGAGAAAAGGAGTGAGTATATTTAAAGGTTAGGGTCAACGGCACACCTTTGATATTAGTTAGACGAAATTATAGATTGATGAATGACGACATTGCAAGATGATCGATCTTGTGACAGCATTGATCTCCCACGTCTCTCTCCCCCTCGGCGAAACCACAAACCGTTCTTAATCACCTACTCTCTAAATCTATACATCCTTTTCTTCTTTCGATGTGGTCATGAGTTTCTCTTATTATGAGAGTCTATTTATAGTGAGAAAGGAGAATTCTAGAAAGTGAAGGGGAAAGTGAAGAGATAACATATTTATATTAATTAAATAAAATATTAAAGTATTATTAAAACTAAAAAATGACCATATTCATTACCTCCATTATGAGGTTAATGAATGGGAAGGGAGTTAAATTTTTTCCCATGTGTTAGGCACTTAGGCGTGATGTTTTAGAGAGCAAAACCAATGGTTTCTTGGTCCGTTTGTTTAATTACATGTCCGCCTTCCACAATTTTGATTATTAAGTATTTTTGGAAAAATATAAAATATATATCTTTAAGTTCCATATTTTTCACACATCATTTTAACATAATTTGTTTGTCAAGAAAACAGGTTCACTTGAACAAACTATATTTTTCAGATAGTAGAGAACCAAAACTAATTTTATTTCTTTTACTCATCCCCTCTAACAATTTAATCATTAAAGCTTGTATTCTAATTTTTTTTATTTTTTAAATAAAGAAAAGTGACATAAGTTTAAGGAACGTTTTTATTTCATACTTAAATTTTAAACATTTTTTTCAATTTTTTTCAATTTTATTTTGTAGTAAAAAGTTAAAAAAATTCTAGACCAGTTTTCAGGACGTTATACTGAATGTCTCCTTGTAATCAATGTCATACTCCTGATGATAACCTTTTGCGACAAGACGAGCCTTATACCTTGAAACAGATCCATCAGCATTCCGTTTAATGCGATACACCCATTTGCAACCAATCGGAGTGCGGTTCTTGGGTGGTGGTACCAAGTCCCATGTACGTTGGTCATTCAAAGCAATAAACTCTTCATCTATTGCCTGACACCAAAAACTATTACCAGAGGCTTGGCGGTAAGTGCTAGGCTCAGTGGTAGGTGGGGTAGTATCAAGGGTGGTATGGGGTGGGGTAGTATTTAGGTTTGAAAATTTCAGATTTGGCTGGGGTTTGCATGGTGTGTGTGTTTTGGGGCGGGGGTCGGTTAACCGGCTGTGTGTTTTGGGGAGGAGTAGGTGACGGTCGAGGGTGGGTTGGGGTACGGTTCTGGGGTTGGACCGTCTGTGGCGTGTCCATAGGGAGGGTGTCGGGCGGTCGTCCGTGACTGGTGGGACGGGTCTGGGGTTGGACCGTCGGCGGGACAAGAACATGTTAGCCTGAGCTTGGAGGAAAAATAGGGGTTATAGGAGAGGGTGACGGAAGGGATGACAATTTAGGATATGGAAAGTGATCCTCGACGAACCGAACATGACGAGAGACATAAACTTTTTGAGACACGGGTTCATAGCATTTATACCCTTTGGTGGTGGGATGATATCCTGAGAAGACGCAAGGAGTGGAGCGTGGTTGAAGTTTGTGGTGAGTGTAAGGACGGAGCCATGGATAGACCAAGCAACCAAAGGGACGAAGGTGGGTATATGTAGGAGGACGGTTGTAAAGAGTTTCAAAGGGAGATTTGTTGGAGAGAGTTTTGGTGGGCATACGGTTGATAAGATAGTTTGTTGTGGCAAGAGCTTCGACCCAAAAGATAGTCGGGAGAGCAGAGTCATATAGAAGAGAAACAACCGTTTCAATGAGATGACGGTGTTTCCGTTTAGCGACCCCATTTTGCTCAGGAGTGTAGGGACAAGAGGTGTGATGAAAGACTCCTAAAGTTTGAAGGAAAAGGCCAAAAGCGTTATTTACAAATTCTTTGCCATTATCACTTTGAAAAATTTTGATGTGAGAATTAAACTGAGTTTTAATCATTTTTTTCAAAATTCACAAAAACAGAGTAAGCTTCAGATTTATGTTTTAGGGGATAAATCCAGGTAAATTTGCTGAAATCATCAACGAAAGAGATATAAAATAAAAAACCGCTACAGGAAGGAACAGAGGTGGGACCCCAAACATCAGAATGTATTAATTGAAAGGGCGTTGTGGCCTTATGTTCAGACAATTCAAAAGGTAAACGACAGGACTTAGAGACATAACATGATTCACAATGTAAAGGTTCTGAAAACTGAAAACCTAAGGAAGACAAAATAGATTTGGCAATCACAGGAGCTGGATGACCGAGTCTACGATGCCAAGTGGACTCTTGGATAGCTTGATACGCAACGGTTGGGAGTTTGGAAGGAAGTGTGTATAACCCATGCTCACAGAGGCCCTTGTACCGCACCTGGTTGGTAAGATTGTCCACTATCTGGAAATCATTGGAATTAAAAACAAAGGTGCAGTTGTTATCATTCTTTGGTAAATCGATGGACAGACAATAGATTGGAGGTAAAGGAAGGGACATAATGAAGAGTAGAAAGGTGGTATTTACCATTAGGAGTATGGACAAAACCTGAGCCAGAGTGTGTGATGGGTATGGATTGACCATTGCCTACGGTAATAACATTAGTACTGGTGTATTGATGAGGAGATTGTAGCTGAGAATAATCAGACGTGACATGGGTGTTGGCACCAGTGTCCAGATACCAGTTTCCAGAATGATTACTCGTAGATGCATGCATTGCACGGGGAGCACTAGAGGAGGAGTTCACAGTATAAGAATCATCAAACCGATACCAGCACGCAGACGCAGAGTGACCTCGTTTTTCAAAAATTTGGCAGGTTGGCAGATCCCGTGACGGTCGACCGTTTCCCTGGGATGGTCGACCGTTGTTCCTTTCTCCACGTCCGCTGTTGTATCCACGTCCAGGGGACGGTCGACCGCGGTAGCCTCCTCTACCGCGACCTCGACCGTTTGTAGCGAGAAGTGATGTGCGAGGTTCGGTGATGGTAGACTCGGTGAGGCTGAGTTTATTCTCCATCTCCAGGTTTATTTCTTCAGAGATTAGCCATCCAGAAAGCTGATTTAACGAAATATTGGTGTTGTTCATGCGAATGTTTTGCTTAAAGGATGAATATTCGGTGGGAAGACCACGAATAACAGCATTCACCACATCACGTTCAGGGATCTCTTATTTCAAGGCATCGAGATCTGAGAGAATAGTTGCCACATCATCAAGGTATTGTTTCATAGTTTTGGCACCTTTACGAAGAGTGTGGAGTTTGTCACGAAGCTGATAAATATGAGCGGTGGACACAGAATTGTACCGTGCGGCCAAAGCATCCCAGAGGGCAGCAGATGTGGTGAGGCCGCGAGCATGTTTGTGAACAGAGGGGCTAATGACTGCTAGGAGGCAGGCGCGGATCTGCGTGTCAACGATGCTCCAGGAGGTATACGCTGGATTAGGGACGGTTTGATCGTTTTTGGAGATGGTTGGCGCTGGGGCTGCTTCATGACCATCAATCCATCTAAGGAGGAGATTAGCTGAAAGAGCGGTTTGGACATTGAGAGACCATGCTGGATAATTTTTTTCGGTGAGTTTTTCTGGGATTAAGTTATGGAGACTCCGAAGCAAAAGTTTTACTCCGGAGGGTAAGGAAGCCAAAGGATCCGATGGGGCTGCCATGGTGGGTGACGGTCAGCGAAGGGCACGACCGAAAAAGAGAGGCTAGTTTTTTGAGAGCCTTAGCTCTGATACCATGATACAATTTGATAATAATTTCTCGTATTGAATATTGAGAGATATGACCCTATATATAAGGAATACAAGAGTAATCAAAGTACAAGTAGGAAAGGAAAGAATAATCCTAGTAGGAAATGAAAGAAGTATCATAATTTAATTATAGTTCGTAATAGATTTGATAGAAAAATACTTTCTATGTTCCAAATATATTAAAGTGTCAATTTCGATTTTCATTGTTTAATTATTTTTTTCTTGTTGCCTTGGAGAGCCATGCCTGCCACCCGCTTTATTTATGATGTGGCTACTCCAAATTAAACTTCAACTTTTTAAGTAGAATTGGACAAACTTTGATAATCGATTAAATAAAAAAATTATTGGATATGAGTATACAAATAATTTCACTAGATTAATTAACATGTAATGCAGAATTAATGTAATTAATTATTAAAGGACAATCAACCTAACTCATAAAAATCTAATTGAACGAATATATATGAGAAAGACAGAATATTCAAACTTCTAATTCTACCACACCTCCAAATGTAAGGTTTGGGTTCTCTTTCCTCAATATAGGTACGGATGCCCAACAAATTGTTAACAAAAAATGCTTAGTTAATACTCTAGAATATAAATAAAATCTTTTCTAGTCTTCAATTATCAACAGATATAAAATGTTTGTGTTTGTCTTTGTTATATAAATGATGCACAATTTCTGGGTTTCTCAATAATTTTCCTTAATAGTTATAATTGTAACCAGACACACACACATGTGTGTGTGTGTGTATATATATATAGAGAGAGAGAGAGTAATGTACGTGCATGGTGCATATATGCAGCGGCGATCATGATTTGTTGGTACCCTCTATATCCTCTGAAGCGTGGACAAAGTCGTTGAATTACTCTATTCTTAGTGATTGGCGCCCATGGCTTGTGAATGGTCAAATTGCAGGGTACGACACTAAAACCATTGTTATTAACTTTGTGCTTCTCATATTGAAATTAAATAGTGAAATCTGTATTAAATAGGACTAAAACATAAGTTATTTTCTAATGTAGGACTTAAACTTTTTTATTCCTTAAATAAGACTTAATAATCTCTAGTGAGAAGAATAATGTCCAAGTGATGTTAGACATTTAGTTGAATAATGACTAATAGATAATGACCAATGGTTCTACATTGGGAATTAAAAACTTATGGTTTTATATTGAGAAAGTCATTATGTTTTATTCCTATTTAGGTAAATTACCCAATTAAATACTATCTTCCGTCTTGTTCACGGCAAAAACCCCTCTTTTTTTAAATGTCCCACAAAATCGTTTTTTTTTCTTATTAAAAAAGTGAAATTTACACTTAATAACACTAAAACATGTCTTTTCCAATGTAGCACTTAAATCTTTTAGTTCCCGAAATAGTAGCACTTGAGAAATGTCTCGTAACGGGAACAATGTCAAGTGATGACTTGAAGCTCTAACATTCTTGTGTATTTTCCAATTCTGGGAATCGCCATGCAGCTATACGAGGACATTTTCCAACAACATGACATTTGCGACGGCTAAGGTAATACTCCTACTATAATTGTGATCTCTCCTAAACTAATTTATTCATTATGAATTCAAAGAAAGTATTGGGAATATTTCGAATTGAATAAAATTTGAGGAGTATTTAAATAGAGAAAATTATTTTGGACTACCTATATTCTTTTTTAAGGAAAAATAATAAAATTATATTGGTACGAATAAAAACAAAAGTGAAATTTTTTTATGTGAATTCTAAATTTCTAGGATCTCATTTTTTGTTTATCACACAAAATATATATTTATCTTATTTTCTTTAAAGTAAATAGTACTCCCTCCGGTTCTAAAACTTTTTCTTGTTTTAACTTTTTTGGTCAAACAGTGACATATTTTGATCCCAAACTGTGAAAAAAGTATACTTAATTTCCGTATGGAGTAACACGACGGCATGCGGCCTGTTTAACATGATTGTTCATATGGAATTCCATATCCAGAGGCTTGTAATTCTTTAGGTGTTGGCGCTAAAAAAAATTAAGGGGGGAGGGTCCATTTGCAAGTGGTCAACCGGTTAGATTCAAAATGACCTAGTTGTCCACTTGAGGGGGAGTGTTAGAGTGTTATCCCACATCGAAAGTCCATGAGTAAAATAATCCCTATATAAGCTCTTGAGTTAAACTAACTAATCGATTAGATTCAATCTCGATCTTAGTGTGGTTTGACCCAATTGTTATATAGCCCAGTCTAAGTGATCCCTACCCCATTCCAAATTCTATCATCGTGGTTTAAAATTTGCATCCATACCCCTTCAGATCAATTTCCAACCATTTTTTCGAGCAAGGAAGGGTGCATTGGAGCCTATTTTCTAAACCATATGGGGCACTGGTACTCATTTTTATTTTTCATTTAATTTTTTATTTTCCCCTTTTCCTTTATTTGTTTTTTTATTAATCAAGGTTTTTTAAATTTTTTTTAAGAATATTCTTAAAGTTTAAAATCATTTTTATTGAAAAAAATAATTAACATAGACGAAATCTGTACGTCTCAAATCAACAATTTTTTTTATTTTCCGAAATAAAAAAGTAAAACTTTTTTGAGAACTTTAAAAAATGAGGATTTAAATACGAAATAAAAAATAAAAATGAATATCCTTTTTATACATCCCAATTCTAAGGATCTTTTAGGCATTCGAAAAATTTCTTTTTGCATAAGATTCTTTTTGCATGTTTCAATTTTTTTTTCATTTCAATTTTTCCACATTTTTATTTTTGTTTTTTGTTATGGATTTTCTTTTGAACTTACCAAAAAAAATTATTCTAGAATACAAAAGGTGAAAATGTTTAATTTAAGATAAATGGAGTATATGTTATATTTTTATTTCAAACACAAATAATTTTGAATTTCTTAAAACATATAAAAAATTGAAAACAAAATTTAAAAACTCTTCCAGGGAAAAGAAACAAAGAGATAAAAAAGAGTTTAAAAAGGGGGAAATCCAAATAATAAATGAAAAATAAGAATTGAGCAAGAGTGCCCCATATAATTTAGGCATCAATTAGAGATAGTATGTGTGCAACGTTTTGAAACTACGGGGACTTTAGAAATAAATTTTGAAAATAAATGAGTATTGTTGCCCATTTCAAACCACAAGGGGCACCGGATCTATTTGGACGAGAAAGTGATGGAATTATGTACTCCCTACATTCATTTTTAGTGTGTGGTTCATCTTTTGAGTTAAATGTTTGACCAATACTATTTCTTAAAATATATTCTCTTCACCCCTTTTTTAAATTTCTATTTCACTTTGCGTGTCAAACGTTTGACTAGCTATATACGAAAATATACAATGAATTAAAATTATAAACTATGCCAAATTCTTCGTATCAAAAAATACTTTTAATGTATTAGTTTTAATAATTTTTTCTAATATATTTTAAGAGATATTATTGGTCAAACATCAGGCTGGTTCAAAAACAAATCAGACAATTAAAAAGGAATGAAGAGAGTACTAATAAAAAAATATTAAAAATCATTCTCCCTCCGTCCCAAAAAGTCTTTCCTGTTTACTATTACGGCCTCTCGATAACTCTAATTTGTTTGCGTGTTTTCATTGATCATTTCACAAAATAAAATATTCTTATCACCTTTTATCTTGTAGAGTTTCCGATGTAGTTTTTAAATATAATTTTTTATGTCTTATTTCCTTACCAATTTGCAAATAAAATTATTTTAAAATCCACGGGATTTTGTACGTTAATCAAAGTAGAAAATTATTTTTGGGACGGAGGGAGTATATTAAAAATATTTTTCGATACGAATATTTTGATATAATATTTTTTATTTTAATTCATTACGGAATATATATTTTTATGTATAGTCATTCAAATATTTGACATGTAACTCGAACCAAAGAGTTAAAATGGAATGAAGTAAGTACTTGTATATAACTCTTGCTGCCCATTTTGAAACAGGGATCAGGTCATTGCACTCCAACATTTACACCACTAGAATCTTTTGTCATGTTCAAAAGATGGATGTCTTATGAAGCACTTTAAGAACGAAATATTTATGATACTCAAAGTTTGGAATAAAAAATTTGTATTGGAATATTTTTGTTGTAAAAATTTGTTTGGTAGTTTTTTACGGGCGAAGTCTGCACTTAAACGGACAAGCCAAGTTCCTAAGCCACATAAACCACAAAATATAATTGGTTTGTGGTTTGTGGTGGGTTAGTACTATAATAATACTAATAATTATCATTATTATTACTCTCTGCTTCCATTTTTTATTATCTCAGTTACTATTACGATCTCTCGATAATTTACATTTACATGTTTTCATTAATTATTTGATAAGATAAAATATTCGTGTTACACATCTTTTTTGTAGAATCTTTTATGTAATTTTTTAACAATGTAAAATTTATTTTTTATTGATGCATATACCAATTTGTATATAAGGTAATTTTTTAAAAAATAAAATTTTACACGTTATTGAGAAGATAAAATGGAAGGAGAGCGAGTATAATAAAGAAATATGATTGGTCACTGTGGGCCCCATTTACATTTGTATGGGAGATAACAATCAAAAAGAGCTGTAGCCTTATGTCTAGTGACGCATTCTGATATTGGTTAGACGGATAACATAAAAATAATGACTAAGATTGTAGACTAGGATTCCAATGACAGACCACATCTGTAGACTATGGTTGTAGAAGAAAGTGACTGTATTTCGCAAATGACACAAACAGAATGGCCTTTGAAATTATGTACGACAAAAAAGATATATTATCATTGTGAAATTACACTTTTAGACCTCAAATTAACAATAGCATCATAGAAGATAAAAAATGGACTATTTGTGGAAAGATACCCATAAAAAAAGGACCGCTAAGGTAATATTTGATAATAGAGGACTAAATAGGAACTCTCCCTGTTATAAAAGACCAATTATGGAATTTATTTAAATAATAATAATAAAAGGTACTTAGTGAAACGACGCCGTACTCTTAGGGAAAAAAACCTTAGTGAAACGAACGTGGTGTTCCAGTCTCCAGATCGGTTCATTAACCAATTCTCCAGATTGATTTTTTGTTTTCAATGCTCTTAATTTTAATGCTTTAGTTCATGCGAAGTAAATTATTTTTGGTTTTTTGTTTCTAGGTGAAGAAATGTAAGTTTATTTTTACAAAGTAGTAGAGTTATTTGATTTTTTCCTTATTTTAAGAGATTATTGTTGAATACCCATTTTAAAAAGAGTTTATTGTGCATACTAATTATAATGTCATTTAATTGTTTTGTTTTGAACTACTATCTTTGTCTCAGAGTATTCATCCAGTTTGACTTTTTTGAGTCAAATTGGATGAGCTTTGAGGCTCAATTAAGTAAATGGTAAAATGTATATTAGTAAAAAATGATTTTATTAGATTTAATTTGTTTAGAACATTCAAAATTTTATTTACCTCAAATTAGTCCTCAATAGGACAAGAAATTGAACAAATTCTATATGTATGGAAAATAGAAATACTAAAAGAAATATAAAATAAAATATGGAAAGAAATTTGAAATAAAAAAGCAATAAAAAGAATAAGTTTTAATTTTTATTTTAAAAGAGAATTTAATTTGAATAAAAATAGGTAAATGTTTAATAAAAAATTAAAATGTAATCATTGCAGTGGAAGTGAGGCACTCTACAGGTTTCACTCAGCGCCGATGTATGTGGCGCTGAGTGGCTGCTGATTAAAGTGAAGTGTGATGGAGCGCTACAAATAACTTTATAGGTCTGGCCGAATGGGGTACGTGATCTAGACCACGCTAATCCATAATGCAACTTACGATGGGTTAAGCCACGTTTTGACAATGCTAACAGTTTTCATTATCATTCCATCATAAAGAAAAGGAACAATTTTAAGTGCGTTCAATATCTTTGCATCTGTGAAAAAAACAAATCAAAGGATCAATATCACAATGAAATACCTCTTTATCTTCAACCTCACATTTGTATGATATTTTTTGCTTTAGGCCCGTACCTGCATATATTTTTCGCATTAGCGATTATATATGTGTGATCTATTTATCATCTTATATCGTTGCTAGAACCATGCACGACACGCCACCTAGCTACTATTCATATCAGGAAGACTTCCGACACAAGATATCAACCGCATATATCTTCTTCGCTAGGCTGCTTGCCTTCTCTTGTCCTCTTTCTATCAGCACACCAATCGAGAACTCTACACAACATAAGACACGATCCACATGTCTCCTTCAGTACTACTACGTATCATGTTGGCACACCGTTACACTAAGAATTCCGCACAACACAAGACAACATACGTAGATCTCCTCTAGTCTCGTTCTTGTTGGCCGTCGTCACATGGAGAACTCCACACACAGCCCACCACACGTGCTTCGATACTACAAGTTGGGATCGCATGCACCTATACCCCAGATCCTGCATGCATTAGTATGCAAGCTTTAGGCCAAGTTGGGCACCTCACAGAAGGATTCATATTTGTTATGAGCTTCAACCTCACAATGATCTCGGAAATATTAACAGACAAGTTCAACAAAGAACGGCCTTTATTTCACAAGAGAAGCCGAATACAACTCTGGTGTGGGTTGGGTTTGTCCTCCCAACACTTGGAAATATTATAAAAAGAAGCCATCTACATGGTTGTTCTCTGAAGACAGAAGAGAAACATCAACCGCCAACCTTCCTTCTTGAGCTTTGTAGTTGTTAATGTTGGGGAGGGGATGTATGGCGATGATGATGCTTATAGTGGGCCGAAGTTGAGACCGTGAATCCGGTACCATAGCATTAGAAATAGTGTAAACAATGATCATAATTCATAACTATGTAGTCTATCAATTGACTGCACATGCCATATTAAAAGGATGTTCATCAAGTTTAACCACAAGGCAAAAAACCACCAAAAGGTATCAACAAGTGACAGATCTCTATCATTCACAATTTTGGGACAGGGAAATCACTTTCACAGATGCAGGATATATAATTAACATGATGGACATCAATACCATCAACCCCTTAGAGAGTACTTTTTTCCTGTGAAAGGTTGAAACTTTGGCTCTTCTTTCTTCTGAGGTTCTTCTTTTGCCGGTTCTTGCTGCAGACATAGACACATTGAGACTATATTTGAAACTCGGAAAATAGTAGCGAAAGTAAAAAAGGGAATATGATACAACCTTTGCTGATTCACGATTGCGGTTCCCATTTGAGCCAAACACGAGCTTGCCTTGCGACTGACTGTTTCTACTTTGAGAGCTTGATGCTGCAGCAGCAGCAGAAGAAGAAGACTGGCCAATACATTTGGATGCATCAGGTTTGATTCCAGAGGGGGAAATGGGTGGAGGGTTATAGTTCAATGATTTCCCATCCAAACGCCTTCCTGCACCGGTAAAAGGGTTGAATTTTGGTATGTCCTCGACTGGACCCTCTTCGCCTGCATATTAAACTCTACTAGTAAGCATTATTGAACAGACCTCACAATTTATTTTCAGTCTAAGAAGCTAATCTTCTTAACTAAGAATTTTAATCTGCGCTCAGTAGACAATCATTTTATAGCATAATATGCAGAATAAGTACGCCTCTGAGTTTAGGCTCATTAAGGCTTTTTCTATAGCAAAATATTAGCATTTTTGGTTTATTACACAAAAGATATGGTGTAGCTTTTCTAACCATAAAACCAAAAATGAAAACGGGCAACTGGGAATGAGGCCGAATTATTTGGCTGTAGCGGGCACCCATTTCATAGAAATAAAACAGATTCTGCGGCCACCCATTTCATAGAAATAACCCTTACCAAACAGGCCCCAATAACAACACAAATATATACAATATCAGCTGGGGTCTAAAAGTATCTACAGCACCTTCAGCAGACTTGTTTGGGAGAGAAGAAACAGGTCTTTCAGGCTCCTTATAATCAAGAGGAGGAGCAAAGTCAACTTCACAGTCTGTTTCAATAACACTTATAGCACTAGCTGGCTTTGTCTCAATGATATCTATATAATACTTTTTATTGTTATAAGCCATCATGATACTATCTCCCGTTGTTAAGCAAGAGAAGTTCCTCAGTGTTGTCTCCAAGCTGCAGCAAAATGAAAATGAGAATTTATTTATTTTTAAATTAAAGTTAGCAATTCCACCATGCGCATTGCAAAAACATGAACTGAAAAATAACTAACATGGCTTTTGGGTTGGAAATATCCAGGAAATCTTTTGTATGTGGTTGCAGTTTTACATATGTGCCCTTAGGAAGAGCAACATTTTTCACCCGCACAACATCTCCTTCTTGCAACAACAAATTTTCCATCATCTACAAGACAGCATTCAATGAGAGTAAGACTGATTAACTGAAGTACACGAACCACATAAACCCTAGATCAGATAACTATTTATTACCCAATATGGCATATATATCATGCCTTCTTCTGCAATAAACTCCAGAACACCACAATGAGAAACCCGCTCTGCTGCAGCATTGTGAAGTTCGAATAGCATTGGATACTCAATATGTAGAGATGCTGCAAAGTTGATAATCCACTAAAAATAAGCTTAAATCTCAGGAAAATGCTAGAAAGAAATAGAGGGAGAAAATATGATTATTTGGAAGAACTGTGACAAAAAAAATATTATTTCAAACTAAAAAACACGTTTTTATAGTTTTTTATTGCATTTGTTTTTAAGCTATATATTTATTACTCTTATATAAAGAACTAGAATCTAGAAATTTAGACATTATATTTTTAAAAGCATTAATCATATTTCATCCTCCTTTGCAATTAATGGGGTAAAACCAAACAAAAAAACTTCTCGTAGCTTTTGTCTTTGATTTTTAAACTATTTACTATTTCTACTACGGAGTATATAAATGCTTAGAAATCTCGACATGAAATATTTTTAATAATCAAAACAAATAAATAAAACGAATAATAAATGATTAAATCCGGGCATGAGAGTTGGGCTTGAGGGGACTGAAGTCTCACAAAAGCTCTACCCTCACATTTTGTGGGTACCCTCATTTTGAGTATCGGGCCTCACAAAGCAAAAACGGATGTCCAAGCCCTCAGATAAGGCATCAATTAAGCAAAAGGGTAGCCAACATTGAAAACTAACCAAGGCGATCAAGGGCAGATGGAGGCATTATAACTGAAAAGGATATGTAAAAGACATCATGAGCAATAATATTTCAGTAACATGTGCATCTATGAGAGAAGAGGGAAATAACATCTAACTACTTACTTTTGTCACCATTTTCTATTTGAGGCTGCAAAGAGAAAATTTTAGCAGTGTCAATATTGTAGCAAGAACAAACAAGATAAACAAGGTACAGATTACTGGCTTGAGAATTCCGTTAATTGTCAACTAGTAAAAGAACATGAAGAATATGGCAGAAACAGAAACAAAACTTAAACTTGTTAATCTGATGAGAGAGGTGGATTGGAACCAATCAACCTTATCAATAAAAGATGCAGGGTAACACCGATATGATTGCTCGAACGATGTTCCATGGTAACCATATCCATCAAAAAACTGCAAATTCAGAAACAAGTTGATAAAAGCTAAAAAGAGGATGCAAAAACAAAAGGAAAGAAACATATAATTGGAGAGGAATAGACTGATAGCAAACACACAATACCATATGAAGAGGTCACAATTTTCTTTAGAGAATACTCAAATTTGAATTGAACTAATGATGCACCCAGGAAAAACGTGTCTTGAAGAACGAGAACGGAAGCATGGATTATTAAATCATACGCTTCCTAATGATGCATATATTATTATCCGGAATGCAGAACACACTCATTTGAGCCACCAAAGTATCTTAATCAAATGCTTTAACAAGCTCCATCCATCCCACAAAACCTTTCCACTTACTCTTTTTACTTGTCCCAAAGAAATTTTTAATTTGGGCTAAATGGACACAAACACAAATGCCCTTGGTTTCCCTAAATCTAATCTAACCTACCCAACTCCTTTCTACGCCTTTCTAATATTTCCCAAACTCTACTCGTTTCAATTGTTGTCATTCCCCATTTGTCAAACTGCTACGACTTCCCCTCCCAAAAGTCAAAACTGGAAAAGTTTTGTGGGTCGGAGGGAGTATATCTTAACAGATCCACTGCAGTGTTTCCTTTGATGAGTGAAGGTATGAAAAAAATCGAATATTCTACAATATTATATCTAGAGCTGCTTTGAATTGGTTTGAGAGTTATGGATGATGGCAACTGCATCACCCAAAGCTTTTTTCACTACAACCTAACAGTTAACCTTAGATCGCAAAAAAAAAAAAATCAAACAAATATGGTTTCCAGACTTGTAGAAAGAACTCGACAATTGTCCTTCAAAGAAGAAAAGCAATTGAATAATTACTAGAGATACATAGCGCGAACTAAAATTGCATACCATGATTGCTATCTATGAATTAGGGGAGGGCCAAAGCTGGGGAGAAAACACGGCACGAGTCAGACACTGCTCGTGAGACGGCGGAGCACACGGAGGCCCGGCGATCGGAATCTGAAGTACTCCAAAGAAGGAAGGAATTTTCGAGACTATTGTGTTCCTTTGGGATGGGGATGGGAATGGGCTGGGCAGCTAGGCTCTCACTTCAAATCTAAACTGAGTCTGATAATTCACCTTTGGTTTTTAATAGGCAGGGTAATGGGTAGGGTTTTGGTCGGGTAATTCTTCACCCTTATTTATCTATCAAATCTATATCGGCCCGGTTCTAGTGACACCGGAGAACGGTGCCACTAGCGGTGTCACTGGAACCGGACCGATTCTATATTAATCATTCGATCCATACAAAAATACAGAGTATCTAAGTACTCCGATTTTTGTGGTAATAACTTTCGCTCGAGTATTATTATTTTTTAAAAGTATAATTCGAGATACTTTAAAATATCTGAAAACTACTTTCAGATGGAATTTTCATTCGATCTCCTTATAGAGCTGGACATGGTACGGGTACTATTCTGATTCTCATTCCGGAATCGGCGATTCCACACCCATTTTAGTGGAACCGGAATCAATACCATGTAGTGGCAGTTTGGGGTACTTTTGGTTATGTAGCTATTCCAATTCCGAACCGGTTCTGAATTTTTTTAAGTAAACTTTTTTTTAAAAAAAAAGTTATATAATTGACTTCAAACTTTTTTATTGGTAGTAAATATTGTGAATTAACCTCAAACAAATTAAAAATAAGCATTAAACACAAAAATATTGAATTGATTCGGGTCCCGTAACGGTTTTGATACCAAAAATTAAAAACCAGGACCTTTTCCCATGGTTTCGGGAAATTATGGTACTCTAAGGGTATTGGTTCCGGTTCGAGATTTACTGGTTCGAGAACTCTAAGGATACTGGTTCCGGTTCGAGAACTACTGGTTTCGAGAAATTCTGGTACTCTAAGGGTTCCAGTTCTGTAAAATAATTTTTGTACCGAATAGCAAATAAATTTGGTAAATCATAATAAACCGGTTCAGTATGGTTAATAATGAAAATATTTCGATTTGGTAATTGGTAATATCAAAAAAACGGACCATTACATTTTATATTCATCTATAGTAAACTTTCTTTATTTTTAATTTGTATCGCTAGCCATCTTATTCAAAATTTAAAGAGATTAAGAATACTCGGTACATTTTAGCTATAGTCACCCATAAATTACTTAGTTTGTGATATTATTAAAACATTATCGAAGCATACAATTTCTTGTAAAAAAACTACAATGTACAAAAAGAAATCAAAATACAAAAAACAAAACTAACAATGCAATATAAAGAGTTCTTAAATATTAATTGGGTAAAAATGAACTTTGTTTCTGTCTATATATATATATATATATATATATATATATATATATATATATATATATACACACACACACACACACATATACACACACACACAGATATATATATGTGTGTGTGTGTGTGTATGTATATACACACACACACACACACACACACACACACATATATATAATCTAACTTGCACAAAAAGTATTCTATCAAAATATTAAAAAAAGGCTTACCTTTAGTCATCGGTAATTTATTGTCCTACGAAGTGAGGTCAATGGATTGATCATTAGAACAAACAAAAGAAAAAAATGAAGAATGAGGAGTCAAATTGTAAGTATGCCTGAGAAAATTTAACTAGATATGAGGTACTTTTTTTAAAAAAATAGAACTATGAATAATACGAAGGAGAAGATAAGGTACCGACCACTATATGAGTAGCTAGGACTCAAGGTTGGAATTCAAACTTCAAAATATTTAAAATATATAATAATATGGAGTAATAATTTGGTATTTAATAATAACTAAATTACCAAATTATTAAATGAAACCAAACTGAAAACTGATTTTTAGAAAAAAGGAAAAATGGAATACCGAACCAAATTGTTTAGTTTGGTTTCGGTATGTAACGAAATTTCAGTTTCGGTACGGTTTAGTGGTTTACTGGATTGTGCACACCCATATTTTGTTATTTATTCATCTTCTTCTTCCCAAAAATTGCTACTTCGTATCCATAATTTTTTTATAATAACTTTTAGGTCTCATCTTTTTTTAAATATACTTCAGGGTACCTCAAAATATTCAAAAACTTATTTTGGTCGATTTTTCCTTATAATAATAATAGTAATAATAATAATAATATCATTATTATTATTATTATTGGGTAGCAAACTCATCCCATGCCACACCAAAAGAAGAGGAGAAAAGTGACCAAAATATATATGGTTACTCAAGCCCATTAGTATGAGGTCCTTCTGAGAAATGCCCAAAAGAAATTGTGAGAGTCTGGCCTAGAGCGGACAATATCATACTAGTACAGGGTTGAGGGAGGGCACACGTGGTCCCAACATGTGGGATCAGAGCAAGAAAAAAATATACTTCTAGCCATGTGTGTTATTTGAAAGTAAAAATGGTTTATTCATACAATATTTTAGTGGTTATTTTAAAGGGTCCTAATGGGTTATTGGTAGAGTTTTACCAATTGTACTAGAAGATTGGTGTTGTAACCCTATACAGTGAGTTACATCCAAAATCCCCCAAATTTATTTCCTTGATGTAGGCTAAGCGTTTGATCTGTAAGAAGTGTGAAGCTTTCTTGTGTAATGTTCATGATGTGCGGAAGGATCCGCCCAATTTGGAGGAAATTCCTACTGTGCGTGACTTTCCAAATGTATTTTCTGATGATCTCCCTGGTTTACCTCCCCTGTGAGAGGTAGAGTTTTCAATCTATCTTGTTTCAAGAACTGATCCTATATCTGCTACACCTTATCATATGACACCAGCTGAGATGAAGGAATTGAAGGCCCATCTCTAAGAATTGTTTGACAAGGATTTCATACGACCCAAGTCATCCCTTTGGGGAGCTCCTGCTCTTTTTTCTGCAAGAAAGATGGTTCTATGAGATTGTGCATCGACTATCGGCAACTTAACAAGATGATGGTGAAGAATGGTTATCCCCTGCCCCGTATCAACGACCTATCTGACCAGCTTCGAGCAGCCACGGTATTCTCAAAGATTGATCTTCAATCTGCATACCACCAGATTCTGGTTCAGCAAAAAGACATTCCTAAAACTGCTTTTCGCGCTCGATATGGTCATTATGAGCTCACTATGATGCCATTCGGGTTGACTAACGCACCATCCATGTTCATGGATCTTATGAATAGTATCTTTTGATCATTTATTAATCAGTCTGTGGTCGTGTTCATCGGTGACATCCTTGTGTACTAGTGGAGCATGCTCGACATCTGGAGTTCGTAATCGGCATTATTATGAAAAACAAGTTGTTCACTTAATTGTCAAAATGAGAATTTTAGTTTATTTAAAGAAGTGACATTTCTTGGACATTTCATCTCTACAGGTGGCATCGGGGTGGATCCGACAAAGATAATCGTCATTATTGACTAGAAGATACCGTACAACGTTTGTGAAGTGAGAAGTTTCCTTAAATTAGCTGCATACTATCGATACTTTATTGAAGGCTTTTCTTTGATTTCTTCTCCACTTCCCAAACTACTGAAAAAGGACTCTAAGATCACATGGAGTGACCAATGCCATAGTAGTTTTGACCATTTAAAGAAGTGTCTTACCGAGGCACCCATGGTGACTAAACCTAAGCTTGGGGCTGACTACACCATCTACACTGCATCGAGGGTGGGACTTGGTTGCGTTCTTATGCAGTAAGGCCAAGTCATTGCTTATGCTTCCCACTACTCAAGTCGCATTAGGGGAATTATCCTATGCATGATTTAGAGCTTGCAACCACCATTTTCACATTGAAGATTTGGTGACACTACCTGTTTGGTGAGAAGACGTACATCTACACTTATAAAAAGAGTGTGAGGTACTTGTTGTCTCAAAAGGAGCTATATCTACGACAGCAGCATTGGATAGAGGTGATCAAGGATTACGATTGTGAGATCGTATATCATCCGGGGAAGGCTAATGTTGTGGCTGATGCAATCAGTCATAAATTGTTAGCCAAACTTCACGTACGCCCGATGCTAGAAGATCATATTATCTTAGCTTAGCGCGATGACAAATTTTTCATGAAGACTCGTGAGCTTATCTCTAAGGGGGGGAGACAGGACTTCTCTGTTTGCGATGGTGACATGTTACTATTCTACGATCGTCTAGTTGTTCTGAGTAGAGAAGTGAGGAATCGCTTACTTCACGAGGCTCACGAAGCCACGTTAAAAATACATCCAGGAAGCAACAAGATGTACCATGATTTGAAGAAAGTTTACTAATTGCATTTTATGCAGAGAGAAATCACTAAGTTCACATCACGATGTTCGAGCACCAATTACCCTCTAGACTTTTATATGGTTCAACCGAAGTCCACTCCTATATGGAAGTGGGATCGCATCACGATGGATTTCATCAAAGGATTACCACTATCACCTCAAATGAATGAATCGATTTGCCATTGTTGATCGTTTGATGAAATCTGCACACTTCATCCCTTTGTGACATGAGACATCATGACGTCAGGTGGCCGATCTGTACATCCGCGAGACCGTGAAACTTCACGGTGTTCCTATTTCTACCATTTCTGATCAGGTAACTGAAGAGAAGGTTCGTATCATTAGAGACAAATTACAGGTTGTAGGTGATCGCCAGAAATCCTACACCGGTTTGAGATGCAAGGATATCGAGTACCAGGTTGGAGATCGAGTATTCTTAAAGGTTTCTCCTTGGAATAAAATCCTCAGGTTCAGAAGGAAAGATAAACTCAATTCTAGGTTCATTGGGCTATACAAGATCATTGAGGGTGTTGGGCCACTGGCTTATCGACTTGAGTTACCCAGGAACTAGATAAGATCCATAACATGTATCATGTTTCTATGATGAGGCGATACCGATCGAATAACTCACATATCATCACTCCATGTTCTGTTACACTTGATGGGGATCTTTCTTATGAGGAGGAACTGGTAGAGATACATACTCGTGAACTGAAGGTCTTACAGAACAAAATCGTGCCTTTTGTCAAAGTCCTTTGGTGAAATCACACGCCAGAGAAAGCCGCTTGTGAAATGGAAGAATCTATGAGGGTACAATATTTGCATCTTTCCTGTGATTGGAAGAATTAAATAATATAA